GCAGCCCAGCCCTGAGCAAACACAGTTGCTTCCTAGTCTTGAGAAGTACAACCAAATGCGCCAAATGCGTCCCGAATTCAAGCTGGGTCAGTGTTCTTGGAGACTTTAAAAGGAGTTTCCTAAATCTGTCCCGGAAGCCCAGGACTCCTAATAGACATTAGTGCCCATGTTTACTGTATACAGAGGGAAAAAAGCGCAAAGGAGTCCATAAACATGTGCATGGGATACTGTATTTGCTTTTTAAACAAGTGTTGCTACTCAGCACCACAGGGTTTCTGCTGTCTCTGAGCATGTTGAACATTGCAGATATTTTCTAAGTATTGCATGTAATTGAACTGATGAGCAGAGGAAATTCTTGTGGCGTTTTTTCTGATCACTTAAAAATGACTTACGTTTCCCAAATCCCTAAAATCAAGGCATCTGTGTGCACAGATATAAACACACAGTAAAGAATTTCGTGTGTGGTATTATAAATATAAACAGATCACTCACATAATGAATGTAAAAACCCATACACATTTCTCATATTTCATTTATATATAGATGGTAGTCATAGCTATAATATCAAGGATTATGAGTTTTTATGTTATATTTTATTGTTGCTAACTTAAACAAAACCTATTCTCAATTTTTGTTATTTTCTCCTCAGGTGTTGAGTGGGGCTTGGTGTTTCCCGATGCCAACGGGGAGTACCAGTCTCCTATCAACCTAAATTCCAGAGAAGCTAGGTACGATCCGTCGCTGCTGGATGTCCGTCTGTCTCCGAATTACGTGGTCTGCAGGGACTGTGAAGTCACCAACGATGGACACACCATTCAAGTTATCCTAAAGTCAAAATCAGGTATTTTGGAAAGTGTGTTTCTGCGCTTTTGTGAGCAAGTGGACAATCTCTGATTTAACTTACAGGGTCTTAAAGGGGGCACCGATGCAATTTCTATCTTCATAGTTCTTTACAAGATGCATTTTCTGGGAATTATATTCTGAAATAGCTGTGAAGGGCTAAGAGGGTGAAGTGATGGCTGTCTCAGCTGGCTGTTCTCCCAAAGCTGTGCCTGGAGCAGCCTCTGTTGAGGGAACAAACATTTACCGAACTGTGGGGAAAGCAGTACATACACAGGCATGTCGCCTCTGTTGCTTGAACAAACATTTACCGAACTGTGGGGAAAGCAGTACATACACAGGCATGTTTATTTGAGTTTTTTTTTTTTCTGTGCATCTTGTTCAAAATTATTGATTAGCTGAAATCATTTAATTATAATTCTTCGTTTTTCTGGTTTGTGAAACCAAAGATCAGAATTTATTGATGTTATTCATGTTCAAGATAAACTTTTCAAATTAAATTTCCCTTCTCTATTAATGTCAAGAATGATTTTAATAACAGTTCAACCCAGCCAGATATTTAAATGGAAACCTAGCTGGATATTTAAATGGAAGCTTAGCCAGATATTTAAATGGAAACCTAGCTCTTGGTTTTGTTTAGTTTTACACACCCTTCTTCGTGAACCTAGTTGAAATGGATCTGAAATGGTTTGTGGAAAAATTAAATTTCCAGGGAAATTGGTTTTCAGCTTAATTGTAGGAGAGATGAAAGCAGATTAAAAAAACAAGCATTAACATTGTGTTTTTCAGGGGGATAATGACCGTTTTCCTCCTGGAAAGAATGGAACATTAGAGTATGTTGGATGTTGATGTGAGCTTTAATAGGCTGTGCTTACGTTAACTTCAGATTGATAGGGTAGGTATTTTAAATCATAAAACCTTTAGGTCTGACATTAGGCAAGGAAGGTACGGATTTCTTCCTTTAACTTATCATGTTTCGGCACTTTATTTGAAATCTGTGAGATAGAACATGTATTCTTTGAGGCTGTTGTAAGTTTAATCAAGGTTGTGATGGCTCCTGAAGCACAGTCTGTGTTTTGTATAGAGTTAGTATATTTCTTCCTAAGTTCCTCCTATGTCTTGGAGATGTTTACCTCTGGCTATGGTATATTTTACATTACCATATACTTGGTATACTCCTTTGTCCTTTTCCTCCTCTGACTTCCACTCCTGAGTGGTAGGAAGAACCACCTGTATTTCTGTCCTGCTCCAGGTTTTGTCCTCCAGTCCTCTGGGACTTTCCTCCCTCACATGCTCTGTTCTCTTTCTGTCACTGCAGTAATTTCTCCTTTTCAATATTTCAGCAAACTTAAAAGTTAATTGGTGGTGTGCATGGTGGCACACACCTTTAATTCCAGCCCTCCAGAAGCAGAGGAAGGTTGATCTCTGTGAGTACAGGCTAGTCTGATCTACATAGTGGACACTTATCTAAAAAAGACAAGTAACTGAAAAAAACAATGTCTTGAGTAGTTTATTACCTTTTTTAGGATATTTCAGCTTCTGTAAACTCTGAACACCATTATTTATTTAAGGAAGTATTTTCTTTATCAAAATGGAATACAGACATAATTTGAATAGTTGGCTATTTCTTTATTTTCTCTACCTCTAGCTACAGCCTATCTCACTCCTCCTACAACTTGTTTTTCTCTAGCAACAACTACTTTGAATCTCTAAGAATTATTTTTTGTTTGCTGAAGTCATAATATAATTTCATCATTTCCCTTTCCTTTCTCCAAACCCTCACATATACCTTTTCTTGCTCTTTTTCAAACTCATGACCACTTTTCATTAATTGCTGTTATATACATATATGTAAATTTATGTACATATATATTCCTAAATATATAAGTACAATCTTCTCAGTCTGTATGTACTTAGATGTTTGTTTTTGGGGCTGAACCTTTTTAAATGGCTTCTCTTTATTTCCTAATAACATGTGTATGTTATTCTGATGTTTAAGAGCTCTCCGGGCTCCCTGCTGTGGAAGGGGAGGCGGTCTTAAAAGCCTCTCCTGTCCTGGTTTTGCCCCACATGCCTAAATTATGCAGTTAGTAAAATTAATACTCAAAACATTATTGCTATGACCTTGCACCTGCCATTTCTGCTCAAGACTATATTCTGTTTCCTTTATAGAACAATGTTTTCTCCTGGAGTTACTGTATTTTTGGGTATTTATTTTTAAAGTTACCTAACAGGAATTCACTTTTAACTCTGACACATGATAGGTCCTGTCTCAGGACATTCAAAGGCACCGAATCGTCCTTCCTTCCCTCCTGTCCTTTTTCCTGCCCCTTGGAGTTGTTCCTCTCTGTCTGGACTGATGCTGAAAAGTTAACACATACCCACTTTTCATTTTTGCTCTCACATTTTTAGTTTCTAAAACTTGGTGCTGATAGTTTGCATTAATTTCCTTTTGAATTTCACTATCAGTGTTTCATGGAAACAAGCCCTTGCTTCGTTCTTTTCTGTTGCCTTCTGCCTGGATTTTGCTTGTTCTGGGTTCTTTCTCCTCAGTTCAGTTCTAACTTTTCATTTTGGAGGTTCTTGTCAAACAATGATCTGGCTCTCCACTGCTACCTAAGAATGACTCTAAAGTGTGCTCTAGAAGTTCAGTGAACAGAGGCAGAGGCTGTGCTCTGGTAATGTGGTCAGTGATGGAAGCAGACAGTGACCTGGCTGTGCTGGAGAGGTAGTTCTGGAGGTTGGCTCAGTGTTCTTGGAATTTACCTGCTTGTTGTTTCTGCTTTTTGGGGGAAGGGAGGGCTGGCCTACATGTGGACATTTGCATTTGGGCTGTTGTTAACAGCCAAGAGAGTATCACCACATGCTATGTTCCTATTCTCTATTCCTCTGCCAGGGACAGTAAAGGCAGCTATTTGACTATGGAGAATGTGGTGTAGAGTGAACGACTCTTTTTAGAGACCTTCATTTCCTGCTTGCAGTTTCCCACTCTGTGCTTCCACCCATATCCAGGCATACCCAATGCCCCTCAGTTCTGAGTCTGTCCTGATGTCTTTTTCCTTTTGGCTGCTATGACAAAATACATTAGACTATTTGATTGATAAATAATATGAGTGTTTTAGTTAGTTCTTATTGCTATGAAGAGACACCATGACCACTGCAACTATTACAAAGGAAACATTTAATTGGGTGGCTTATGGTTCAGAGATTCAGTCCATTGAAAGTGGGACATGGCAGCATATAGATACACATGGTAGAGAGAGGTAACTGAGAGTTCTACATCTTGATCCAAAGGCAACAGGAAGTAGTCTATCTCACTTGGTGTAGCTTGAGCATAGGAGACCTCAAAGCCCACCCTTAACAGTGACATACTTCCTTGAACAAGGCCATACCTATTCTAACATGGTCACAGCTTCCACTAATACCACACCCTCTGGGGACCAGTTTCTTTCAAACCACTACAAGGAGTTTCTGTTTTCCAGTTCTGGAATCTGGGACTTCTCAGCTTGGGGTGTGTGCAGATGCAGCATCGGAGGAGAACCTGCTCTGCTGCATAGACATCACCTCATTGCTGTGTCCTCAAGTTGCAGAGGGCAAAGGGAACACTCTTGCCATTCTCCAGGGCAGGAAGCTATTCACCTAAGCATCTCTAACATGACTGCACTGGGGAGCTAGCTTCAGGAAGCCATGTCCTATGGTGGGTGTGCCTCCAGGGGGCATCTCTGCTGTAATTTCCGTTTTACTAAATCAGAATTTCAGGCAACTAGCAGCTTCCTTAGTTTCTTTGGAAACCAAGCATTTTTATGCTGCTTTTAAATTCTACCCTTGGTCATTCTGCCCTTGCACATTCTCTTCTTTTGTGTAGTGAGGCTTGAGGAGGGAGGGGAGCACTTCTTGTCTAATTGGAGGTGTTCCCTGGTAACGATGTGATGTCTTTTAAACTTCATTCATTTATTTATTTGTTGGTTATTTTGTTTTTGAGATAGGATCTCAGTAAGTTATCCAGTCTAGCCTGAAAATCACTATGTACTGGAGATGGTTTTGAAGTCCTAGCAATCCTCCTGCCTCTCTCACATGCTAGGATTATACTCACATGCTTTAAAAAACATTGTTTTAATTATTATTTTTTATTAGTGCACGCACATGCACCGCACGCGCGCTCGTGTGTGTGTGTGTGTGTGTGTGTGTGTGTGTGTGTGTGTGTGTGTCTTGATGGTTTGTGCATGAGGAGGTCAGAGGACAATTTTATGATTCTATATCTCCCTCTACCTTTACATGGGTTCTTGGGATCAAATTCAGGTTATCAGGCTTCACAGAAAGTGCTTTCACCCGAAGAGTCATTTTTTTCAGGTCCACAAATTATCTTTTTAAAGTAAAAAATAATATTAATATCATAAGCACAACTTTCTCTTTTAGGAATTAAATCTGACTTTTTATTACTTACTGTTGAGAACTTAGTTTCTTTGAGGATATTTGTGGTGGTAAACAGTCATTTTTCTTTCCTTTTTATTTTTTTCCTGTGTTTATTATTAAAAACAAAACATAACAAAACAAAACAAAAACTCACAAAGAATTACCCCAAATGATGACACAATTTTTATAGTATGATTGCAGTGTTTATGCTTCATAAACCAAAAATGTTAGTGTCATCCTAGTGATGCAGTTCCTGAGTATAGTTACATCTGGAAACTCTGCCTTACGGTGAACTGGAGCATTTTTGATCCCAGCCTCTCTACCGTGTAGCTCTTCTGAGACTTTCTCAGGCTGGGGCCACTGATCATCTCCCTCATGCTCTCCCCAGTGGGAACTGGGAAAACCTATCAGACTCGCGCTGTGCTGTCTTTGAAATGAGCAGTGTGGAAACAGTCTAGCTGGTCTCCGACACAGTCACTTGAGGGTTGTTTTAGTTTTGACTTCTTTCTCCCTGCCAGTTCTTCATATCAGCCTTAGCATACTGTCTAGCTTCCTTCTCGAGGCTCCTCTCACACAGGCATTACAGTC